CCGTGAGGCCGGCGCCAGTCGTGCCACGGCCCGTGGTGACGACGGAGCGTGCTGCCATGCGCGCCGCAAACTTCATCACCTGGGACTTGCCTGGTAAAAGGTTGGGAACGGCACTTGGGAAGTTGAACAGTTTGAGGCCAACCATAAAATGAGATGTAAGCACCCAAGGCGCGGCGGGGCAAAAAGGCATATCCCCATTTGGTGGTGACAGCCTTGCTCAATTCACCCGTCTTGCCTCAAATCAGCACTTTGCCCTGCAAAAAACATCTTGCATTGCAGCCCTTCGCCCCCCCCCCCCCAAAATGCCACCCACCTGTCCCCGGGTCCCCGACCAGCAGCATGTGTATCTCCCCGCGGATGTGGGTGCCCGCCTCGTCGCAGCGCGGCACCCCGCCCACCACCATGAGCGCCATCGCCAGCTTTACCACAAACATCCCATAGATCTGGGGCGGACCGGGAGCCGGCAGAGTGGGAGCGGACAGAGCGGGGCGCGGCACAGAGGGGCATTTGGCGTCTGACGAAATCATGGCGCGGCAATTTGAGTTTCTTCAGCAAAGTGCAGCCAAAGGTCAGCAATTTTGCAGCTGTGCTGGCATGGTGCCAACAGGAAATTAGGCTTAGTCGGTGCGGAGGAGGCATTGCAGTGCCGGCTAGCCATGGGCGCCCCCCCCACCTGAGGGCAGATGCTGGACAGGATCTTGTTGCGGCCGCACAGGGGGTTGTTCTGGTGGTGCTGCCAAAAATTCCTGCATACGCATTTGCCGTGCAGGGTGCAGCGCATCGTGTCGCCCTGCGGCCGGCAAGTCCCCGAGCGGCACCCTTGAGGACTCCTGCCCCCCTCTCGCGGCTCCTGCACACGCGCTCGACCCTGCACGCCATCTGCGGTCGCCGGCTTGACGCACTTCAGCGGCTGCGCGCAGTCCAAGCGCAGCACCCGCTGGAGCGCTGTGCCCTCAACGCAGGCGCAGCCCCACGTCCATCCCCTCACTCAAAGTGGTGCTCCAGGTCGACGCCCATCAGCTGCCTCGGCCGCGGCGCCCGCTCGTCCACGCGCATGTGGCAGGCGCGCAGCACCAGCTCGGCGTCGCAGCGCATGCCCGGGTACAGCGGGCGCCAGCGCGCCACCACCACGCAGGTTACCTCCACGTCGTCTGCGTTGGGCGTGGGACGGTGTGAGGAGGGCGCGGGGGATGGGATGCAGCGACCCCATGTATGCTTGTTCGGGTGGCCGGCTGCGGCAGGGTGAGGCCTCACCGCCAGGGTGTGTGGAGGCCTGTGGTAGACGCACAAATTCAGGCTGAGCTCCAGCTGTGTTCTGGGGGACACCATTTCCACAAATTCCCGAGCTGCGAGTCAGCGCCCCAGAACCACGATGGACCCTGTGCACAGGGCAGCCGCGCTGCTGCCCTCCACAGTTGCCCCGCTGCTCACCGCCGGCCTGGCAGCTGTCCGCCATCTCGTCCATCAGCAGCAGGCCGATCGCGCTGGGCACGCTGCCGGCGTCGAGGCACTGCAGCCGCTCCTGCAGCCGCACCTCCTGCGTGGGCAGGGGATGCGCAGCAGTGGCAGAATGACATGCGTACGCCTGAGTGAAAGCCCTGTGTGTCCTGCGTGCTGGTGTTGCGGTAGGGGGTTGCAAAATTAACATAGCGCCCGCTGCAAAATTAAACTAACAGCCCTTCTTGCTGGCCAAATGGGCTGTGATTGGTGATAGTGGCAGTGCTCTCTGTGGGCTCAACAATGGTGCATGAGTATGTGGTGGCTGCCAGGTTATGGTGTGTCTAGGCCCCTGTGAACTGCTGAGGTGCTGCACCCCCAGCAGACCCTTTGGGGGTTGACCAGCGTTTGACCCACTGGTTCCAAGCGTGGTTGAGGTGGCCTGGCTGTGAAAGTTGGGTGGATTGGGCGCCTGCGAGCTGGCAGCATGCTCGTGGGATGTCAAAGCTTGGTTCCAAGGGCACAGTCTTGGGCACTCACTAGCTGCGCGCATGGTCGCTCGGGCCGAACCACTAGGACATCCCATTGACTTGCACCCAGTGAAGCTGGGGCTTTTGACCAAGCCTTGCAATGGCTAAATGCCAACACAGTCAAGAGTTATTTGCTGCCAACAACAGAGCATTTGGGTTGCTTATGTGCA